CTAGGCATGGCCAAGGGCAAGACGACTTGCCCCCCATGCCAAGCCTCACGAAAGTAATTCTTGACTTTGTACAATCTTAAAACTTAACTGTTAACAAGTTTCAATTTAAAAAGAGGACCAAAATTTTATATTTTTAAAATTTTGAGGATTAAATGTCTCTATTTTAAAACAGAGAGATAAAAATTGCACATTTGTGAAAATAGAGGGACTATAAATAAAATTTAACCTAAACTTATTTTACCAATGATGATTTATTCATTCTTAATATTATATTATACCCGTGTGTACTATTTTTCTCACTCAAGAGCTATACAATTTGAGAAATGCTATATCCTTTGAAACAAAGAGATCGATTTATCCTATTAACCATTATAAAACTGACGCTTGTCATTGTTTTAAATTAAAATATTTTTTTAATTAGTATTTTAAAATATGTAAGATGTTCGACTGAATTGTTCGGCTAAAATTTTTGGACGTTAAAGCATTTCTCATACAATTTTTCTTCTTCTATTATATGATGGTGATGGTGATGATTATGAATGGAAAAAAAATCCAAACTCATGGATATCAATTTTAAATGGATAATTAAATGGGTACTCGCTTAATAATGAGGTAAACATGAATAGTAAGGTACCCATATCCACAATTTAAAATTATTAAAAATACCCTTAATTATATATAAAGTACGTAGTTTAATGTAATTTTTTAAACTAAATGTGTCATAATTATTTATCTTAGTATAAATATATGTTATAAAATTATTTTTTTAATATAAATATATGTTTTTAGATTATTTAATTTTAGTTTTATTTTATTTCTTATCATTTTATTTAAAATTTTAAATTTTCTCAACTATTCACGGATACTTAAAAATTCATGGATACTCACACTAAACTAGGCAAGTGACAAGAAGCTACTACTCCCAATAATTATGATGTTAATGGTGATGATAATTATAATGGTGACAACGATGATTATGATTCACAACAAGACACATTTCGCCAACATAGGATAGAGTTAAAAAAATATCATTAATGATGATGACAATTACCATAAACCACAACAAGATACAATTCTCCATAAGATAAAGAAACTAGGTAAGTGACGAGAATCTACTACTTGCCTTACTTCGTTGTCATTCCTAATGATTATGATGTTAATAGTGATGCTAATTATAATGATGACAACGATGATTATGATTCACAACAAGACACATTTTGTCAACATATAGGATAGTTAAAAAATATCATTAATGATGATGACAATGACCATAAATCACAACAAGATACAGTTCTCCATACGATAAATTGCATACAAAATACCATTAAGTAAATACCATGTAATCTAACTAGTATAATTTCAAACACTTTCAACACTATCAAGTATTAATACATTATTCAAATAATTTGGTACTAATTTAGAAGTTTTGCCACCATTAAGTTTGCATTTGAGACTAACTTGGATATACTACTTGTCACCATAAACATTAATTAAGATGCATAGATTATGCATGTCTAGCATTGTTTATAGGTTCACTAAGATTGGTATCCGAGCTAGTGGAATCACTCCATGTCGTTGTTTGGTCAAAACTGCTTATGACATTAGGTCCAGACATTTCATATGGGTAAAAAGAGGGCCTTGGAGGCATTTCAAGATTTTCAATTTTCCCTTCAAGCATTTCTACTACCTTATTCATTGAAGGACGGTCACTAGGTTTTAACTGAATACACCAAAGTGCAACTATAAACATTCTTTTTGTCAAAGTCATATCCTCTTCAGAAGCATCTTCCATCTCAACATCTTTCTCTTCTTTAAATTGATCATAGATCCATAATGGGAAGTAATGTTGGCTGGAATACTCTACACAAGGATTTGAGTTCTTTCTCCTACTCGTCATTTCCATCAAAAGCATACCAAAGCTATATACATCGGCCTTATAAGATACACCTCCAACATTTTTGTAGAACAACTCCGGAGCCATGTAACCCAAAGTTCCTCTTGCAGCAGTCAAAGTGACAATGCTATTATCTACGGGATATAGCTTTGCAAGTCCAAAATCTGAAACTTTTGGAATGAAGTTTTCATCTAGAAGAATATTATGAGGCTTGATATCAAAATGTAGAATTTGCACATCACAACCTTGATGCAAATATGCAATTCCATGAGCTACTCCAAGAGATATTTCATATGTTTTCTCATAACTCAAAGGGACACTTCCTTCTTTAGAGAAAATGTATTTATCTAATGATCCATTAGGCATGTATTCATAAACCAGAGCACGTTTTTCTCCTTCAAAACAATATCCAATTAGTCGTACTATATTCACATGGTGTATTCTTCCGATGGTAGCCACCTCATTAATAAAATCTTGTCCATCAGATTTGGATTTGCTCAGCATCTTTATTGCTACATCTGGACCACTTCGAAGCTTTCCTTTATATACAGAACCAAAACCTCCTTGACCCAATTTAACTTTGAAACCTCCGGTCATTTTCTTGATTTCTTTGTATTCATACCTTATGGGATTTAGATCATTGTCAAGCAAAAAGCTTTCAATGCTTTCATACATTGATAAATGTCTTCGTCGCCACTTATAAATCAATAGTCCAAGCAAAAGTGTAACCCCAAAGACAAATCTGGCTAACAAGAATATTGGTAGAACATTTCTTCCTATATATATTGTTACAATATCGTTATGTATCGCGTGAGATGTTATTCTACTCCACAATCCTGTGTGAGAAATTTCGTTAAAAGCATTGTTATAATTAAAGAACGTATATATAATCAGTAATTGTTCTTAAAATATGAAATAATAAACTTAAAATTATTATGACTAAATTAATAAGAGGTATTAGATAAGATATATTACCAGAGATAATGTCGTTAAGACATAGTACAATACCTACAAAAGATAAAAGACATGATGATAAACAACACATCAGTAAATGCGTTGGATAATCATTATTCACAAAATTAGTATATTATTTATCAAGTTGTACCCAATAGTGGATAAGTGTCAAATCATTGAGGTATTGGTAATCTTTAGAAAAATACTAGTGCTAGACGTATCTGCAATTTAACTAGTATTACCTAATTCACCACAAAAGTAGAAATAAAAATTAACTCGAAGCTCCAAACTCAATATTAAAAGGAAAATATAACCATAGAGAAATAATAAAGATGAGAAACGAGCTTACTTTTTATAATTCCATGAATCTGACTTCGTATGTATTTACCCATCCGTGGCAGATCTCCTGGAACACCACAAAAAAAAAATTATAATTCTCAGGTTTTAAAAGGTTTAGATTAATTAGAACACGTTACAATTTATTTTGTAATTGTGAACAATATATATATATATATATATATATATATATGTATATATATATATATATATATATATATATATTTGTGTATAAATTATAAT